TTGAGATCCATTTGCTCGTCAGATTCGGTGTTCTTGGTATATCGGCAGCTCGAGTTGCGCAGCTTTGCCTCTAGGTGCAAGACTCCATCGGTAAACCCAGCGGCAAGGACAAGCTGGTGCAGCCTTTTTCTTAACGCTTCGATCTCATCATGAGGCAGAGCCGAAGGTAACATGTTAGATGTTTCTACAAAATTGGCCACTGGAGCTTTAATGAGCGTTGAAGCCTTGTCCTGGTCTGTTGCGTCGTAGTCGCCGGGACTGGGGAAGTCGTCGTTGACCTCAAAGAACACCAGCTCCTCACTGACTAGAACTAAATTGGCGTCAACCTCTGGACCATCGATATAGGTCTCAATAACAACGTCATGGCCGTGCCAGGCGGTGAAAGCGTCTTGCCACAACATGGGAACTCTGGTTCGTAGCTCCTGTTCATTGGCCACTTTCCACACGCCCTCCGACGACCAGCCTTTAGAAGGCTTCACGATGAGAGGATAGCGAATGCGAGGTCCGTCTTCGACGAGGAGTTGCTCTAGATCCTTGACGGACGAGACCAGCCGACAGTATACATTTGCATCTAGCTGGCGGGTTCGGAACTTATTCTGTGCGAGGGCAATTGAGTCAGGAGGCGATGTGTTTAATCCGAGTAGCGCAGCGGCTTGGGACAAGTAGCTTATAAGGTGCTCGTCCAGCGTGTAAAGACCATCTATTCTTCCTCGTTCTTTGTTGGTTTTCTGGTAGTTGGACAACGCTGCTGCGAAGCGGGAGGGTAGATCGGCAGTCACCGACATATCGATGGGAACAAATTTCTCTCTGGAGTCGGCATAGAGATCATTCGACATCCAGTGTCCTGGCTCATCGAATACTACCAGCGCGATGTTCAACGAGACTGCCGCATCAAGAAAGCCCTTGAGCTTGGACAGAGAGCCTCCCCCAATAATCGCAATGCGTTTTCGAGGGATTGGGCTTGGTGCCAGCCAGGGAAGTGACATCCGCTTGTTCAGTTCCTCGTTGATCTGATCCGATGCGTCCTCACCTTGGACTGCGACGGCTCCATAGCAGCGTGATATCACTTCCTGCACTTTCATGGCCATGTATTCATCGACGTGGCAGCCATTGATACGTTCGGCCGGTACCAGGAAGCTTTGTGTGCGAGTTACGTCCAAGCAGTCGACCATGCGACGCTCCAGAATATCTGATTGAACTACGAAGCCAGATGAAGATGGTAACAGGATTTTGATCAAGCCTGAGCCAGCGACCACGGACTCGCGTAAGAACTGAATGGTACGCCGAGAAATGGGAGAAGAGCCTTTGTCATGATGAAGGAGAAGTTGAGAGACACTCGCTAGAGCGAGATTCAAAACGATCGTGCCAGTCTCGCTGGGCAGCTGGTGAAGATCGTACGAGCTCATTTTATCGAGTGGCTGGTTGATCTACACAGTTGAATTCCATATTAAGTACAAATGGTCAGGACTCCGGATGGTGTATTCTTGAGACTTACCTGCCTTTGGCTTCAGCAGAACTATAATTGTACGGATACTTGGCAGAGTATGCCAGATTAGGACTGTTCGAGTAGAATGATACAGTTTGCTATCGAGGAGTGAGACAACTGTTTCCGAGCGACTGGTATTATTGGCTACAGTAGTGGCGCGTATTCGGATCAACTTCACCCGGAAAGTCAACCACGTGATTGCGCACCCTCTGTAAGTATCTACAGCTATAGCATCGTTGCAGCTTCGTATACACCGGATCGGATGGACGGCCCTATTGTGTCGTTTAAAGTCTGATTGACCTGCATTGAATCTGGCGTAAGATCTCGGTGTCTGTCTCCGCACGATGACGCTCAACAAGGTCTAGAATTTAGATCGAGGAGACTGTGCCGTAAGGCAGCTCTACTCTCAGCTGATTAAGCGCCATGTAAATCCCTACGGTTCATTTGCACGTGTAAACAGCATGATTGGTTCTACGTGCCGCAAAGTAAGACGGGGCTATGGAATTGGCGTTGACAAATAATAGCCGCAAAGATGGCCGGTCGTGCAACCATAAATCTCACACCGCTCCTATTGTGTAAAAGCCCTCAGCGACGATTGAAAATGACAGCAAGCCCAACAGCTTCGTGATGACAACATCGGGTTCCCTCGTGATGGCATATGTCAGGACTTTATTGCAAGGTCATCCAAAAGTCCTATCGACCGGCGGCCATCATGCATTATCAGCCCACGTGATCCTGAAAGAATTGCTCGCCGAGATAAGTGGGTGTTAAATACATAGTATATACAATGAAGATCTCGACCGTCTCGATGGAGTTACCGAGGTATATTGATATTGGCGTTGCCCTAGGTTGTGACAAGCCGCGATCAGTATCAACTAACCAACCGTAGTTACAACCGCTATACCACATCGATAGTCATTGAGTTCTGATTAGTGTTAGACCTTCTCCATTTTCATGGATCGAATTCGTATACTCGATGGGGGCCTGGGGACGTCTCTCGTGGACAAGTTTGGCGTGACATTCGACGAGACAACACCCCTCTGGTCTGGCAGTCTTCTTTTCCATGGCCAAGACACCCTATATGCATGTCAGAGAGACTTTGTTGAAGCAGGAGTGGATGTGCTCTTGACGGCCACATACCAAGCATCCATCGAGGGCTTTACCCGTACCAAAACCACTCAACACCCAGACGGCATTCCAAAATCGGAAATGCCGTCTTATATCGACCGTGCAGTTGTGATAGCTAGGCGCGCGGCCAAGGGCGGCAAGAACGTCAAGATCGCGCTAAGTCTGGGGCCGTACGGAGCGTGTATGGTGCCCAGTCAAGAGTATAGCGCAAAGTACGACGATGAACACGACACCGAGGAATCATTATATCAATGGCACCTTGAGCGGTTGAGCCTGTTCATTTCGAAGGAGAGTGTACTTGAAGGTGTTCAGATGCTAGCATTCGAGACCGTACCGCGAGTTGACGAGATACGTGCAATAAGGAGGGCCATCTTAACGTGTGGTATCACCCTGCCCTTCTGGATCTCCACTGTGTTCCCAGGAGACAGTCCTAAGCTCCCGGACGGGAGCAGCGTGGCTCAAGTCGTGGAGTCTACTTTGGCGTCAGAGGGTCAGGGTCAGATGCCATGGGGTATCGGGATTAATTGCACCTCGGTCAATAAGTTATCTGGTCTCGTCGCAGCCATGAAGGTCGAAGTCGAGAGTCAAGTTTCGAGGCAAGAGATCTATCCCGCACCTACGTTGGTGCTGTACCCAGACGGTGTCAATGGAATGGTTCACAACAGTTCTACAAATACGTGGGAGTTGTCAGTAGACGCCAGTGTTATAGAGCATGCGAAGGTATAAAGTACTTCCCAAACAATGGTCGCCTGCCAACAGTATATTGACATCGAGTCGCAGGCGTCTTGGAAAACCCAGTTGGTCCACCTCGCCCGCGAAGTTCTTGGAGAGAAAATATTCAGCTCAGTCCTGGTTGGAGGATGCTGCAAGACATCGGCAGTGGATATTAAAGCCCTACGGGATGACATTGTTTCATAATAAGGACGAGATACTTCTATATATCTATTCTAGATTAGCATTGCGACCCCTATCCACTAGATCTTGGCTATATTCTCAAAAGCAACTACATGTCGACCCTAATAGCCAATGATTTTTCATTATACATGTGCCTAAGGGACTGCCAGAGCTGCACAAAGCTATTCAAGATCGCCTCTACTAGTATAACCTGAAAAGTACAGAGTCTGCCTAAAATATTTGACATACTCACGTAAACTGAGGGGGTTGCGAAAGGCGGCTTAGAGGGATGCACATAACTCACCTTTGCTTGACCAGAACGCCGATGTCAGCACAGTACATGAGATTCTGAAATCAAAGTTGCCGGCACCAGAGAAGACGACTAGCCGAGTTTTTGACGACCTGTCCACGATTACCAAGCTAGATTCAAAACAACTGCCAGTTCTCTGCGCGTAGTGCTTTTCCACCTATTTGACCACCAAGAAATTCTGCAAGGCCTACGGGCTGAGCTTGCTACTGTCGACTCTCGTGATCTAAAGGGCCTTGGGCAACTCCCTTACTTAAAAGCTGTCTTGATGGAGAGCCTTCGCATAAGTCCGGCGCTCGGCACCCGTATGGCTCGCATCGCACCGGATAGGGGCCTTCTCTACAAGCATTGGCGAATCCCCGCAGGCACCCCTATTGGGATGACACTTGTGCTAATGTATATAGATGAAACTATCCTCATCCTCAACGTTTAAATCCCGATAGATGGCTAGGTGCTGACGGTCAACACATACCCGAGAAAGCCTTTGCTCCATTCTTTAAGGGGAACAAGGACTTGCCTTGGCATACAGTGGGCTTTCACTCTTCTGACTATATTCACCTCTCGGTAATTTAATGGAGATCCTCTACCATACGCTCACTGCTACACTAGGGGAAAGCGAGGGGAAGGCTTAGTCACCCGCACACAATACGGCGCTCTAGTCAGAATAGCTTCGAAAGAGACTTTCTAGCTAGTTACACTAATATAGAGTTTCGTATGTGACCTAGTGAGTGCCCGCTTAAGCGTGAGACTAGCATATCTTATTATCACACGCTTAGCCCTGCGTGGGCCGAGATATATCTGCTCATTGACGGCCTCGTAAATCGCTTCAAGTTTAACTATTAGAATGCCTATGCCGAGGACTTTAAATGCAACAGCGATCAGTTTGCAATTGGCAGCAAGGGCATGGATGTTTTCTAAGCTACAACCTCTAGGAGTTGGATACTGTAAAGTAGTGAGCATTGTAAAGAACAACTTAAATGTGTGTTGCAGCGAAGGGCCTCACAATATATACAAGAGGTGGCGTTGCAGCAACCAGGTACAAGCCAACAACTGTGGCCCATCTTTTCACTCTTAGCTCAGAGTGAGAGCCCCCACTCCACAAACACACACGCACACACACACACACAAAAGTTGCTAAATATAAGCTCACTTTTGCTTGCAAACTTCAACTCGGAACCTCAACACGCCCGGTTAGCTCAATCGGTAGAGCGTGAGACTCTTAATCTCAAGGCTGCGGGTTCGAGACCCGCATTGGGCTTCCCAATGATGCTCCTCTGTGTACAGAGGAACAACCAATTTTTTCTGATTTGTTTTCATCTTTTTCTTGTCTGGATCGTGAACTCAGCTCAAGGGGGTGGCGTTGCCGCAAGCCCCTAGTGTGGCTTATCTTTGCAGCTTATCTATTTCCACATCTCTAGGATTCCCCACTATACATGGGCGAGCTTTCAATTACCGTACTCCTGATTTTAAATCCTGATTTTAAAGTGTGAAGGCAACCGTTATGAGACTACCTAGGTACCTGCAGAGCCGACAATCTACAGAGCGCTACAGCGTTACACACGGATATTTCTAATGCTTCCTACAATTCATGAGTGAATCGCTTACCGTAAGCGAAGCATCCTAGGTTTTAATCGTTGGAATGATTAAGTTCTGTTCAAACCCCCGAACAGAGACACACCCGGACAAATGTTTACTGATCTATGGCACAAGCTTAGAACAATGGGATATGTATGAGTGTATAGGGTCTGTACTAGAATTGTGAGGAGATCTAGGCTCTTCGTACAGTTATGAGAATACATACAGACTTATATCCTGAATTGCGAAACTTGACACCAGCCAGAGCTGGCGAAGGGCGACAGCCTGTCTAGCGTATCCTCGGTCATTCATTCGCCAACTGCTCCTCGAGCCACTCCTCCTCCCGCAACACCACCTGCATGGACCTCTCAAATTATCGCAAATCAGATGCTTACTTGAATAGGCGAGAGAATAAGTCAAGTAGGTCGTATGTTTCAATACGAGACGAGTCCCAGAAGACATAGGCAAATCTTCGATTACACCAATTTTTATCAATCCATCTTGGCGTTGGGTCCTTGTCGATGTTCTGGTGCCAAGCAATATATGGTCCTAAATTGCTGTCCTCTTTATCTTTCTCCATGGCCATCCCTGGATCCCCGCCCTGATATTGAAGGACATATCTACTCTCCAAGTAGCCATTAGATGTTGGGCTAGCGAAGGTCGGGAGGCGGAGTTGGCGAACAGCAGGGGCTGACCTCCCCACAGCCGATCGGTCTTCGTCTGAGGTTGCGTTTTCGAGTCGACCAATGAATTCTAGGCCTTGTGCAACCTATAGCTTTACATTAGGAAGAGTTTTCATTTTTTGAATGCCATCAGCACCTACCCAGAACGGCCTTGATAATATCAGACCATCTGCAGGGTCCCTACCTCTGAAAGGCCCAAATATTTCATTCAAAACTAGATAAATAGAATCCTATTAGTCTCGAACAGGATAAGGGGCAAATTATAATGCAACCAACTTTCTCGGAGATAGTCTGAAGCACAGGCAAGCTGTTCGTTTTCCCAGGGCGAAGAGCTGGAAAGAAACAAGTCCATATGTTGGTCGTTATCTTCACGGAATATTCTCACATAGAGCTCGAAACGATAAAAAGTACGGCGGAAGCGGAATCTTTCTGTCGAAGAAAAGGGGAGTTCAGGTTCGATGGGAATCCGTCGTCGAAAATTTTGGCATTCTTCTGCCCAAATACCTCTCCAAGCTTTGGATGCACATGATTTCGCGTGTTTCTTGACCCGGCTGTGCGTGTCTTCGAGTCGTACCATAGCCATCAGTGGATAATCTCGCAGTCGATTTGTCAGTGAGCCCGCGTCATTGTGCAGAGTTTCAAGCAGCTCTGTGGTTGATAAGCGCGGGTGCGGGCCTGGTGAACCTGATGCTTCCTGGACGGCAACGGCATATGGAAGCAAAGCCCGGCCGATCTGTTGCTCCAGGATTTCGATACCTGAGCGGGGGTATTCTTTGTATGCGTGGTAGAAGTGACGGCAGGTGAGAAGGCAAGGGAGCAGAAACTTGATGTGATCTAACTTCGTGAATACGGCAGCGATTATCTCGCAGGGTAAGCTTGTGATAATCAGAGCCATGGTGTTTGTGCTCGTTGGGATAGGCACGCAATTCGGGTTTTCTGATGCGAGTGGTAATTGCGATGCTGGTGGAAGTAAAGAGGTGATGGTGATGAGGAGAGAAGAAGAGAATGAGTTTCAGACCAAGCCTAGGAAATATATGCATAGAGAACGGCTCACTGAGAGCTCACAGAAGCCTGAGGCTACTGTCCACCTGGAAACAGAAGTTCAGTAACCGACTAATTTACAGGGCAACACGTACTATGGGGTGCCACAAGGCACAGAGAAAGGCTTGTAATAGTTAGCTAGTTGCCTAGGAAGGTTTCTTTTGAAATTTTTGTAGCAACCAGTGTCTTCGTCTACTCTAGAGTTCGAGCTTTGTGGCATGAGGAACTTCCAGTTTGGATACCAGAATATCCAGTTCTGGAGGTTTCTAGACTAGTTCTTCATCTTTGTATAGAATATGTCTCTTAAATACGCCTAAATATCTCATACAAGTAGCTATTCAGTTATTGAACTTTCCAGTTCAAACATCAAGACAGTCCACTGTCTCAAGCAGTAACCTCAGTCGTGTCGTTAGAATCAAGCATCGAAGCAAACCTTCCAGGATATCTTTCGCCTGCGACACTGAATTGTTTGAGAAATTTGTCAACTTCATCCAAGTCCTCATCGGTTAATTTGACTTCGTGGATGTTCTCCTTGATCCGATCAAGACTAGCGGCTCCAGGGATAGGGATGATCTTAGGCATGCCGGGACGGCTGGAGAGAGCCACAAGCCAGTTTATTGAGAACCTGGCCACCGAACGCGGTTAATAAATGACGTAAACGTGTGTCGCTGGGGTGAACGGCGGATAACAAATGAACAGGGTATCAAAGACTTGAATACATACTGGGCTGGAGTGCAACCCTTTTTAGCTGCCCATTCCTTAACCTTCTCGACAATCTTGATGTTATTATCAAAGTTTTCCGCTTGGAAGCGCGGTATTGCTTTGTACAGTTCATATAGATCTTCAGGTTTCTGGATCTTTCCTGTAAGGAAGCCTCTCTGTAGCACTAGTGTTAACAAGGAACAGTCCAGAGACGCTTCTCGCTCAACTTGGCATGATATCACTTACACCAAGTGGAGAGTAGGCAAAGATGGGAATGCCAAGCTCGGCGCATGCCTCACAGATGCCATTGTGAATAGGATCAGTGCAGAAGAGAGAGAGTTCGATCTCAACGCCGACCACTTTGACGACCTTTGCTGCCTGACGGATGCTGTTCGCATTGACCTCGCTGAGGGTCACACCGCCAATCTTCCCTTGCTTGACGTAGCTATCGATGACACGGAGGGATTGGATGTATTCGGCTTGAGAGGTTCGTCTCGCCATCTCCCACATGTCGATCTTCCCTTTGTCTCCGAGTAGATTGAGGCAGTTCTCGATAGACTGTCGAGTATACTCTGGGCTGTTATCAACAGCCATGGGTAAGCGCATCCCGCCTTTAATGCCAATTACCACCCTTTCGCACGTTAATGTCACAACTTTAATCGCAAGATTCCATTACAGAAAGCTTGAACTATCAGGGTATTGTAATGCTTACTTATTGGCATCCTCGGGATACCTTTCGAAATACTGCTTGAGCAGGGTCAAGGAGTTATCCTGAAGAGAGGGACCGTAGAATTCGCTGCCATTTAAGAAATTGGCGCCTGCATCAATAGCCGCTTTGATCATGTGAATCTTGTCGTCAACTGGAATGGGATTTTCTCGAGGTAGGTTTAGACCTAGAATGCGTTAATATTATGTTTTAGGCCATTCGCTGGGGAGGTAGAGGCATGACTTACTCATCAGCCCATAACCAATGTCTTTGACATCCTTTCCAACAATCTGGTAAGTCATTGTGAATAAGAAGGCTCCGTTTGAGAATAAAAGAGTCAGGGAAACTTAGGGACAATAGAGTTAAGCGTGTCTCTATACTTTTAGATGAAGATGAGATAGGTGAAGGCAAGATGCTCAAACAATGAGAGGCTTCCCGTCTTTATATGTTACAGCTCCTGGCATAGAACACTACATTTAGACGGAAATAAGAATTTTGAAAGACCGACGGGCGAAGAAACGGAAACCTTCTTTTCCCGATTACGAGAGCGATATATCGAATTGGTTAACCGTCCGGCCTGTGTTAAGTGACTCTCGAGATTTGAAGCCATGATATATGGCAATGCAAGTACTTGCTACAACTAATTGTCTAGGGTTATCACTGCGTCTCCACATTAAGGTGAATAGATGCCCAATAGGAAATAAAGCTGCTCGATTTTCAAGAGCTTTGAAATGTCGCATGAATGCAATGCTACGAAAATAGCAGCAACTTGGGAGGTAGATTCTACTTGATGAGACGACCCAAGTCTCGAGTGGAAGCACATGCTGAGGCGAAGATAAGCTTACACACCAATCCGTATGCGGCTTAAAGGCAGCCCTATCATGGGTATCCATCGCGAGCTATACCCAAAATGGTTTCTACTCTCTTATTGGTCAATTCTTATGGAGCCCTGACACTGCTTATACTAGCGTGCGCTAAGAGCCGAGCTGGGGAAGGAGCCGAAAACTGTAGTATTACAGTAGGTCTCGGGTGGTAAGGTAGGTGCCTGGGCAGATAAGCATGTATGTACCTGGACTGGCCTGTTGAAAACGGCTCGTCCAATATCTCTGCATCCCCTCGTCTACAACATTTTCACGTCATTATCTTTCTTCTCCACAAACGATACTGGTAACAGTAGCAACCCAGCTAGCACACACACGATAAAGGCGTGGCCATCGATTCGGTATTTGCTACCCAAGAGTAGAAAGAGAGCACGCCATCTACGTTCATACATACTTACATAAGTATGTACATACATGTGTAGTAGTGGCGATCTAATATGGTCGTAGCGAGATGAGCCTAACCGCATGAGTGTTACCACGGCAGTACTCGGCAGACGCAGATTATCGCCCGCCTCCACCGGTCAGAGCCCGGTCTCAGCCATGTCCACCCCAGGGTTGGATCCAGTCTTGAGCTTCGACGGGCACCGCGGTGGGGTTCCTGCTGCAGGTGCTTGAACCTTCTTGCGTCAGTCCGAGGCCTCGATTCGACTCGAACCAGTCGCTTCGGTCA